TATTTAGTACCAAAAATAATAAAACTTAAGAATACGTACTAAATAAATCTTTTTCAAAGATCTTAATCAAGTTTATTTAGATTAATTTTTTGTCAATTCAAAATAAAGATCAATTCAAGGCTAACATTATCCATGATTGTAAACCAATCATTTATAATTTATTTCAAAATTGCTACTTATTTAGACTTTATTCATCTTAATAATATTTAAAATTAGATTTCATAATTAATGTTATTGTATAGGTTTATATACAACCTCTCTTGGTCTTTAAACAAGAATTTTTATGAAATTTAAGGCATATAATCCCTTTTTTTTTAATTAAGAAACTTGAATCATATTATAGTTTCAAACTCTTTATTACAAGGTTTTTATATTCTTCTATTTGAAGAATTCTTTTCCAAGTTCATATGAACTTATTTGAGAAATTTCCTTTATTTGAAGAATTACTTTTAATATATTTATTAATATATTATTTCAAAATGGCATCATTGATCCAATTAACAATTAATATTGTAATCGAAACCTTTAGATTCAATTAATATGAATCTTCATGCCGAATTGTGTGTATTTCTAATGCACTTATTTCTCTTTAATTTCTTAACTCATAGATTTTGAAAACCTTTATAATTGCTCCATGTTTCCAAACCTTTAGTAAGCTGAGGTTTGATTTCATTTCTTAGTTTATGACGTAATGTCATAATGCCTTTATCTCATGACCTTTTCTTTAACCAAGAGTTGATCATTAACCTTTAAGTTCATCTTTTGGCAAGAATTATACCACATCAAAATTGTGTTATTTTAATACGCTCTAAATTAAAGGATCCAACTCCTTGTTGTCAATATTAATATAATTGAACAATTCAATTCATTGCTCATAATGCATAAAATAATTATAGCAATTCTTAAGATTATTACCATTAGAATTATATATCATTTATCTTCATTAATCTTAAGCAATTAATTAGTGCAATCAATTTATGATTCAAAAAAAAAAATGTATTGCAACATGAATAATTATATCATATACAATTTCATAATAGTAGTTATAAAATCATTTTTTCCTAGATTAACCAAATTAGCTATGCATATTTTATTGTTGCAAGCATTTTAATAATTCTCCTTTAAGAAAGTAATTTCTTAATCTCATTATTTAAGCATGTAATAAATCAAAAATGTCAATTAAATATTTAATCTTAGAATCATTCAAACATGCTATATCTATACGTATGTATATAATTATCATATTAAACAATAAAATCATACTTTGTCAAAACCATAGCATAGCCATAACCTATATCAATTGCTATGGAAATTATTATTATGGATCAATTAATGTAAATTAGAACAAGGTTCTACTATTAGAAAATAAATTCTTATATATCTTATTAAGTATGTAATTTATTAAATATATCAATTAGTCATGCTTAATCATAGAATCATAAAAAATATGCTTTCTAGGTTTATGCATCATAGTAATTATGCTAAATTTTTTATCAAAACACCACAGCAAACAATGGTTTTAGTCACATCCTTTTTATACATAATCTTACTCAAAACATATTCCATTTTAAATTATATTCATATTTAAACAAAGCAAATGTACTTTTGTTATAAATATTATCTTGAAATGAATCTTATAAAGTGTACAATAAATTATAAATTTATATTATTTCAAGTTAGGTTTCAATATGAAGGAATTTCATGTTTGTAACATTTACTTCTTTATGTACATTTGAGATGCTTTAAATATTTTTTGCTATCTATATTGTAGCAGTAGACTTTATTTATCATGCCTTACATATCGTTTAAATATTGTAATTTTGCTTTCCAAAATGCTTTCAATGAAGGTCAGTCGATTCCTTTGGAGAAGTAGTTGGTTGCCTTCATTTCAAAAGTTAATCTTTCAATTTTTGAAGTAGTGTAATGTACTTCTTTTTAAACAAAATGCCAATATTTTTCTTGAAAGCTATGGGTAGTCGACTCCTTTATATAGGCAATTGGCTACTCTTTACAAAAGCTTGTAACAAGTTAAACTTGTTGTTACTAGTGCACTACTCTTACTTTAAGAAAATGTAATAGTCATTTTTATGACTTTATTTCAATAAACCATGTACCCTTCTGACATCAACTTAAAGCCTTTTCTTTGAATAAGACTAACTTAACTCCATCTCATGAATTGAAGATGATATTTGCAAATTACGCAAATATTTTGAGCTTATAGTCTTTACTCTTTCTTTTGTTCCTTATGTTATCAATTTTCTTATTTGAAGATTACACATAAGCATTTCAAGAATCATTTTTCATTTTATAACAATGATCTTTTTGAAAATTCAACTTCAGGATGATGAAAATATATAAATTATGAAAATAACAATGGATTTAAGAAAATCCATTTTAAATAGCCATTCATAGTTGCTACCACATCTTATATATAAAATGTAACAACAAATAATTAAAATCATACCACATGCATAAAAACCAAAAAGATGGATAGGTCTTATTTGATTTTTTGTGAGAACCATTATCATCATTCATTGGTGAAAAATTTTTTTTTTACACCTTTCTTAGCATATCTTTATATGTGAACCATTTCCTGTATTCACAAACCGTTTCATTAATCTTGTTCTTATTTTTGGAATACTATATTCATTTTCATGTGCCTTTGAGCCTTTCCATCTTAAGCATTGATGAATTGAAAACAAGCCTTAAGATTGTTAGATTTATGACTTACAACTTCACAAACTTGTAGTTGATGATGATCTTCCACTTGGATCTTTGGTTGCAGTCTTCTCAAGCCTTAATTGATCCTAAGATAAAACATTTAAAGAACAAAAAAATAAATTTAAGGCGTGATACAAATACCACTTTTTTAAGGTTTATTTTGTCTTTACCAATTATGGTATGTAAAAAGGATATAACTGAAACACCTCTAAGATATAATGAAGTTTTGTTTGATTTCACTTTACACTTATGATATCAAATCATGAAACATAAAACTCTGAACACTAATTTTTGTAAAAATAATTTCAAAATAATTTTACTTTATTTGTGAAAGAATGAGAGAAAATAGAGAGAATTTATGATTTATTCAGTCTCTTGAACACATTTCAAATGAACTTTATAATCTCTATTTGTGAAAATTAAATCTTAAAGTTGTGACTCTTTGATTTTATTGTTTCAATCAATGATCACTTCTTTTAATCAGAAAGATATCATTTTGAATAATTAAAGTTATGTTAATTTATTTAAATAATCATTCTTGTTATTCCAATAAAAATCATTTTTCATGTTTGCAGAATATTATAATTTTTCATTAGAGCAATTGACTTCTCCTTGAGGGAACTGGACTGCCTCTTTGTATTTTCTATTTTCAAAATGCTCCAGCAAGCAAGGCAATCGACTTCCTTTAATTCCAAAATACTTAAAACTTAAAGCGGTTGAATCTAGCTATAGCAACTGATTGCACAAGGTAGATAGCCGACTTCTCTTTCATTAAGTTTTGTAAGTACCTTTTTGGATCACATAGTAGTTGAATCTTTTAGTATAGGCAATACACTATTCTTTAGGCTAGTACATGACAATCGACTACTCTTGCTAAGAGAGTTGACAACTCTTGTGATATGCCATCATTGATTATTTAAGTTTATAATCAATCCTACTCACCATAAACATTATCTTAAGCTTAAATAACATAATAAGATTCCTTTTTTGATTAAGTCTTTACCTAATCGTATTATTTTTATATTTTATATTTTAATATGATTATTTAATCATATGATGGATCAATTATTGAATTTTATTACTGTAATTCCATTTTGTTAAATTTGTCACTATATTAGTAATTTTGTTGACTTTTAAATATAAGATAACAAATTTAACAAAATATTTCATCAAATATTTCAATTATGTTATTTTTTGTTAAAAAATCAATAAAGTACAATAAAAAATTGTCATTTATATTAAATAGTATTTCGTGAAATATTATAATTTTATCATTTTTATCAAAAAATAATAAAATGATAAAATTTGATAATCAACCATAATATAATGATAAATTTCACTTTAATCTAAAAAAATACGTAAGAACCAAAAATAAAATGGTTCAACTTATGTTTTATCCTTTCACGAAAACAGTCAATGGTTTGGACCAGTGCAAGTGAAATTATCCCAACTCCAGATAAGGCAGAAAAAAACCAAAATGGAGGATGTGGTACCGAGTGACTACTGACCCAACTCCCCTCAACCACTAATAACAAACGACAGAATGTGCATTTGATAACACTCACTCCTCTATCTATTGAAACTCCAATGAAAACCCTTCCAAAAAAATTGCCAAAGAGGGAAAACAAACGTGGACCCAACCTTGAAAGTCCTTGTAATTCACGCCCCCTCCCACATCATGAGCCACTCATTGCTTTTGGCATCAACTCCCCCTTGGCCAGTTGAAATCCCCATTTTGTCTTTCATGATGTTTTTCATTTATTCACAACAAAAATTCATGTCGGAGAAAAAATCCCAATTTCATCACCATAGCAAAAACTCAAACTGTAAATGTCAAATTTCTCTAAGAAAAAAGACAAATTCCAAACAAGTCAAGAGATCCTTTCCCTTTCACTACTGCACAATTTATTGTTATGAGTCATTATTGAAGACTATGATTGGTGAAATGCATTTGCCAAACATTCTTTTTTCTCCATATCTCTTCTTTGAATCATTGACAACAATCCATTTGTTTTTTTTTAGCATTTTGTTTCCTCTCTTGTCCCAAGTGGCAGCCTCTACTTTTTGCTTCTTTCTTTGCATATGTTTCTTGCATTTCCATTTAATTTATGCTGTAATATAACAAAAAGCTCCTTTCGTTATCCCAATCGTTGAATTCAATTTTCCATTTTCTTCCTCAATTTTTTTTTTGCCTGTCAGAATCAATACACAGTTGTATTTGATAAAGACTTGTTTTCTTTCTCCCTCTTTCTCTTTTGTTTCAAGTGCAACCAATCATATTATATATCTTCATCACTTTCTTATTGATAAAAGGAGTTTTCGGGGCTTTCTAGCATCAGGGTCGGTCGTGGATAAGATGCTTTCTGTCATATCATTTTGCATGCTTTTGAGTTTTGTATTCATTGAAGCAGCTCAAAATGGCTCCCTCATAACTCACCTACCAGGCTTCAATGGTGTCCTTCCATCCGAACACTACTCAGGGTAACGATTCTTTCTTTTTCTCTCTGTCTATCAGAATTTGAGGTTTGATAGCAACCCTCTCAGGTTTTTGGTAGAATTATTATTATTATTATTTGAAGAGTTGTGATGAAAATGAGGGGATTGAATTTTGCAGATATGTTAGCATAGATGAGAAGAATCTCTTCTATTACTTGGCTATTTCAGAAAGAAACCCTTCGACTGATCCAGTTGTTTTGTGGCTGAATGGTGGACCAGGCTGCTCTGACTTTGATGGTTATGTTTATGAACATGGTACTCTTCCTTATACCACTTGCTTTTTATTATTATTATTTTTATTTAATAAGCTAAGTCTACGTTTACGATCGTTAGAACTTCGACTTTAATTTCTATTTTTCCTATCTTACAGTTTGGGTGGTGTTATTTTATATTTAATAAATATATAAGTTTTTATAATTTTATTTTTAGATTGAATCTTTTTATTTATTATTATTTATTTTAAGTTAAATGCTTATAAGAATCAATTTTTTTTTGTTATTTTTTTAAATTTATCACATAACAAATTGTTTTTAATTTTCGTTGTTTATTTATATAATGTTATTTCACATCTAATAAATATATAATTTTTATAATTTTATATTTAAATTGAACCCTTTTACTTATTATGAATTAATTTTAAATTTAATGTTTAATAATAAGTATCAATCAGCTCTTTGTATGCGTATATTGAAAAAGAAAAAATCAATATTACATGTATATAATATTATATGCTAGACCCAATAATTTATGTATAAGTTTTTGTTTATTTCATGTTTTGTACATGTAAAAAAATAAAAATTATTCTATTATAACTTATATATAAATATATTTTTTAATTTAATAATTTTACGATAAAGATAATTTTAATCTCAAATTCTTCAAATAAATTGCTTCATAAATATGTTGTATTTATAATGTCTAAAAATGCGATCTTTTGAATTTGATATATATATATATATATATATCAATTTGTCAATATAAAATTAGTATATAAATGGAATATGGTCTGCTTAGGTAGACATTCACATAGCAAATTTCGTCCGTATTCCAATTAATAACTTGTTTATGGATGGATATGTTTGCAACACATTTAGAAGATCATTGATGAATTTTTTAAGTCATGGTGAATTTGTAACATTATGAAAATGTCTAATGACGTAATTTACTTGATTATTGTTACAAATATATCATTAAACTTTATCACTTAAACTAGTTGTAGTTCATGTTACTTTGAATTTGTTTTCCTTTTAAATCAATCTGTTGCATGAGTTTGAGATAAGACGAAAAATACTAACCATAATTTTATGGATAAGCACATGTATGTGACTTTCATGCAAAAATTGGTGGCTTTTCTCTCTTGAAATAGTAACTACAAAAGAAGCCGCATCTTAGAGATAAGAAATGGGATTGTAATAAAATCTAATAGGATTTTTTTTATTAAGCAAATTGAATAATGATGTTAAAGTTTCATTTTTCTCACTTAATCGGAGATAGAAGATAGGGAATAGGGATGGTGGGATTCGAACTCCCAACTTACATGTCTTCTTAAGTCTTTTTATATTATAGTATTTAACTATAGAAAATAATGTTAATTTCTCTCACATTACGTTAATCCCATTATATCTTACTTATTAGAAAATTAAAAAGAAAATACAAGCTAAGATTTGGTATGCATCATTCCCTACTATAAGTTCTTTTTTTGGTTTCATGTTTGATTCATTTATTTACTATAATTTGCTTTCATATATATACTGTTTGAGAAGAGGATGTTTCATTGAAATTATGCAGGTCCTTTTAATTTTCAAGAAGGAATCCCCAAAGGAAGCCTGCCCACATTGCATCTTAATCCACACAGTTGGTCTAAGGTAAGGCAGTGCATGGAATACCCTTTAAAGTAAACTTACTTTTGCCTCCTTTTTCTTCTTAAACCAGAGTATTTAATCTTACTAACTTTGATGTTCCAAACCAATACGTTTTAATCCTACAAACTGAAGATTGATTTTGCCCCTTATCTGAGCTTTTTATCTCAGCTTTCAATGGTGGTTAGTGGATGCATGCTTTTGTTAATTATCTTTAGCATTTTCCAGGTTTCAAATATTATTTACTTGGATTCTCCGGTTGGTGTTGGGCTCTCTTACTCTCAAAATACAAGCACATATATAACCGGAGACCGGCAGACTGCAGCTGATACACATGCCTTCCTCCTCAAGGTATTTATTAAGCACAAGGATGATTCATATAATAATAGTACAATTTTTTTTCATATGGCCTAGAAACAATACAAAACATGAAAGATGATCGAGTTATATCGTGATTAATTATCGAGATAGAGAAATTGAGGTGCCAAGATTAATGAATATTATTAAGTTTGTTAAACTAACTTGTTGATTTTTCTAATAGTGGTTCACGCTGTATCCGGAGTTTGTCAGCAATCCATTTTATATTTCAGGAGAGTCTTATGGAGGAATTTATGTGCCCACTCTTGCTTCTGAAGTGGTGAAAGGTACTGTTGTGCTAAATAATAGTATATTATTACCTTCATATGACCATATATTGGAGTTGTTGGTTTGCTAATTTACCTTCTGGTCTTAGGAATCAAAGCTGGTGCAAAGCCCACAATCAATTTCAAGGTATATATAGCCATCCTGACAGCCAATATATGTAGGAATAAAGTGACAACTTTTGAACAAAAACTTTAGAATTGATAGAGTTCCAAATGCAGGGCTACATGGTGGGAAACGGGGCGACAGACTCTGATTTTGATGGGAATGCTCTTGTCCCCTTTGCACATGGGATGGCCCTAATTTCAGATGACATTTTCAAGGTAGGTGGAAATAGTTGGAGCACATACGCATATACTTTAATTTTTCAAATTAACGTTTGACCACCTTGATCAAGAAATTAGGGGTTTATTTTGACAAATCTCAACCAACTTTTAACAATTTTTTTTTTTTTTTATGGAAACACATGCTTTCAAGCATAGCCCTTCCTCCTTGATCCCTTCATGTATTAAGTACAGAAGTATTGTTCACTAGTCAACCTCAGAATTATTATTTAAAAAAAAAAAAACAAACAAACATTTTGATTTTGGGCAATGACCATCTCAACAGATTGCATTACCCTACTTACAACTGTGTTTGGTCATTTTATCCGAAATTTCACCCGAGATGTTACACAACAATTGTTGCAGGAAGTAGAAGCTGCTTGTGGGGGAAACTATTCTAGCACTAGTGAGAGTTGTGAACAAAATCTTGAAAAAGTTTCTATGGTGAGAATATAAACCAATTTTAAGTTGAATTTTGAAAGTATTTCGTAGTCATTTCTGATATTTGACATAACTATTTAGGCACTTCACGGCCTAAATATTTATGACATTCTTAAACCTTGCTACCATGACCCCAATGCACAACAAAATTCAAAAGGAAACACTAGCTTGCCAGTTAGCTTCCAGCAATTAGGGGCAACAGAGAGGCCTCTTGCAGTGAGAAAGAGGATGTTTGGTCGTGCTTGGCCATATCGGGCACCAGTCAAGGATGGCATTGTCCCTTTATGGCCTGAACTTGCAGCAAACTACAGGCGGCATGTACCATGTACTGTAAGTTACTTTAATCCTTAATTTCTTTGCAATATTGAACTCCTTCTCCAACATTTTAATGATCTAAACATAATTTAGTTATCTTTAATTAGTTCTCCTTTATGATTCATAGCCATTCACCATTAAAGATGAAATTTTGATTAATTCTTTATACTGGCAGAACGATGAAATTGCAATGATATGGTTAAATGATGCAGCAGTCAGGCAGGCAATTCATGCTGAACCAGTAAACAATCTGCCTCCATCTATGTTGGTTACCTGTAATTACTTACTCTATTTCACATTCATAATTCTCATATACAATGGTGGATAGGAAAACGTAACTGGCCAATGGGTGTTATGTACATCTAGAATAACGTATTATCATGATGCTGGGAGTATGATTCCTTACCATAAAAACCTAACAGCTGAAGGTTATCGAGCACTTATTTTCAGGTAATTCAATTGTAACAGCTGATGAGTTTGCTCCTGTTGAATCCTTACGTTAATTTCTTTTTCCACTTTTATATTTACCTGCAGTGGAGACCATGATATGTGTGTGCCATACACTGGGACCCAAGCCTGGACAATGTCACTTGGATATAAAATAATAACTCCATGGAGATCATGGATGTCTCCTGAGGACCAAGTTGCTGGGTAAATTTGTCCTTTATACTCTGCAGATTACAGAAAAAAAATCATGTTCTTCCGTTTAGCCTCCTAGGAGATGCATGAGTATATTTTTGCTTTTTTGTGTCAATTTGTTTTAATCACCAAAAAAATAAATATAGTATTTTTTTTCCCAACTCAATAGACATTTTATTCCTGCAGGTACTTGCAAGGATATGATCATGACCTTACCTTTCTAACTATCAAGGTTTGACAGTCAATCTCTGTCTTTAAACACCGTTTGCGATGGATGAGATGATTTTCCTACCTCTTTTATACCTTATAAATCTCATCTCCATTCAAAATTGGAAACCCAAGATCTCCAAAAATTGATACTAAAATTTTAACCATGTGCTTTTGGGGGGACAGTTACCCTCTGATATGTCTTGTATGAAACTCAGTTGTTTTTGCATATCAAGTTCTGAATTCAAACTGTTAGTTTTCCCTTTTGCAGGGCGCAGGACATACAGTCCCTGAATACAAGCCAAAAGAATCATTAGACTTCTATAGCCGATGGTTGGATGGAAAAGAAATATGAGAATTGAAGATGGATTTGTTTCTCAAGACAAAAGACCCTTCCATTTTTCACCTTTTGCAATTGTACAATGAGCTACAAAGGTTGCCTTTATTTTCTAAGTTACATGTAAAAATCTTTCTGTATTATATATTTTCTGTCAGTTTGGTATTAAAATAAAATTATCAATTTTATATTTGAACTTTTAATTCGTCATCTATTTTGGTATTCTGAACTAATATAATTAGTCAACTTATCAACATAGTATGAACAATTAATAAAACTTTGACACATGTCAAAAAAGAAGTTCAATTAGCACTACATCATCAATTGTCTTATCAAAGAAAATTTTTTTAAAACAATTAATTTAAAAAATTTTATTAAAAAATCTTAAATATTGTAAAAATTATAAAAAATTAAAAAATATGAAATATTTTTAGAAATTATAAAAATTAAAAAAGAATAAATTACAAAAAATAGTCACTCAATTATAAGGATCATTTAAAAATGATCACTTAATAATTTTTTTCAATTTTGTTACTAACGTTTGAATTAGTATATTTTTGGGTTACTGAACCATTATAAATTCCAGACTTTTTTTTTTCTTTCATTCATTAAGGTTTAGGGTATTGCTCCTAAACCTGTTAAATCCTAAAACCACTTCTGAAGTGGATCAACAGGGTATTGCTCCTCAAGATTATGCTCCTCAATGCACTTGATCACAGCCTTAAGAGTAGTCAACTCTTGCTCACTAACCTCAGTCTGAAACCACAGAAAAAAAAAATTTCAACCATTTTCCGAAACACTCAAGAGCATGAATGTTGGCAAAATATTCTCATGCATTCAAGTTGCAAGAATAAATATGCTTTCTGTGCCACATGCAAGTATATGCTAAACAATTTAACAACCAAAATAGTGTCAAGTTGCTGAAATGTATTGCAGTTGGAACTAACTAGCCAAATCATCCTATATGATCAGACAAAGACCCCCAAGCCAACAGCTAACTGGTAAGAAAGCTGGTCTAATCTGCTTCGATCAAGGCTTTGTGGACATAGACAAGAAATTAGTGCTTGTCCCTCAAATATACAGTTAAGGTATGGTCAACCTAATATATTCAGCCAATATAAAGCTAACCTATCACCTTGAATCAGTGGAGTAAAGAACACACGAGTAGTGGGAGAATCATTTCCAGGCCAGGCAGGTGAAGAAGCTTTTCTTGCCTCCTCCAAGTAAGATTTCAGTAAAGGTACAAGTGAGAACTGCTCTGTAAGCCCAAATGCAAAGGCCAGGTTAACTACATCAATTTGCCTTCTATTATTCACCAGAACTTCAATTACACCTGAAATATAAATAATAGAAAAGATAAAAAGAGAAAGCGAGGTATAAATTACCAGAACTAGTACAAATGAAATAAATGGTTGATTTTCTATAATAGTATTCCATATGTTTAATCCTTCACTTATTGTTGTAAGAGCTTCAGCAGTACCATGCAAGAGAGGAAAAATAATATAGTTTAATATTACTTCGCTTTATTCCAAACAATTGATACCAAGGGACAAAAAGCTAAAAGTCATTCAACGGTTATACAAAATGCATGATGGTCCAATCAACTCCAGAATAGCATTTCAACAATGATATTGTTTAAAAATATCTATACCTAAAAGCATTTAGGAAATTTAGGAAGATACCTATCAGTTAAAGACCAGAGATGAGTTTCCTAGTGCTAATGACTTGAAGTCACCTTGGTTAGGGAGAATAGGAAAAAGGCGGTTAATTTACCAGGCCACACTTGACATGGTTGGTCATATCAATTTTACTAAAATGGATGGTAAGAAACATAATGGATGAATAGAACGTAAGTCTTAAAGCCCTTGGATAAGTAGAGAAATATTCAAGCTCACTTTTCAGAATCATTGTAGTTTTTTCGCACAAACAAGTATTCTATGTAAATAACTTATAAATAGTAAAATATTACTATGTAAGTTGATACTAACAAACTTGGCCTTTTTTCAGACAAACCAAGGGATCGGCAGAGATCAATTATTTGTCGACGATGAGAGACCATTGGTATTAGCCTTGGAAGTTTCTTCCTCATTAAAGGTAGAAGCAATACCAAAAGTGGCAAAGAGCTGTGTCACGGTCCACGAGAAGGACTAGGCCCAGTGGTTCTCTCCGAGACAGGTAGCAATTTTAAAGCAAGTGAGATCAAGTCAAAACGCAAAAGTGAACAAGCCCAGAGGTTCAATAGAAGGTCCTGGGGGTAAGACCATAACCCAGAATGGGTGTGCAGGCGCTAAAACGAGCTCTAGGAGCTTAGGCCAGGTGATCCAGTTTGGCAGCTTTTAGATAGACCGAGCACAGGCACAGGAGCAAGCCCAGGCAAGGGCAAAACTAATCCAAGTAAGGGCCCAAAAAGAGGCCCCACATGAAGGAGGAGCCCAATTTGGTTCCAACTTCTATCTAATAGTGTTTGTAGTTTTGTACTCTCTAATTGTAATCTTATGTAATCTCTTATAATATCTGGACTCTTTATGAGCCTTAAGATAGGATTGATATGAGTCATAGTAAAAGGGTTTCACCTATAAATAGAGGGTGCCTATACCTTCATTGTACATATCATAACTTGGAGTAATACAAGTTTGCTCTTGCCTATCTCTGTTGTTTCTCTTTAGCTTTCCATCAAACACTTAATGTGTAGCCTTGTTTAGCAGTAATGCAAGTGGCTGGCTCTGGAGTATTGAGTTGAGTGCCCAAGTACCAATCTAAGTGTTAGGTTGATCTAAGATGTTGGATGAATCCATTCTCAAGTCCTAGAGTCGCACGAGCCTAAAACTTGAGTCTTAGCCGGTGACAAATGATATTTAAGCAAGTTCAGAGCTGATTCAGAATTGGTAGTAAAAGTTGGTCCAAAGCAAGTGATTAGTGTTGGATGCTGCTAGAACCAAAGTTAGCCTCGAAGAAGGTTCGGACATGTTGGTGCGGGCTAATGAAATGCCTCATGATGCACAAGGTGCGGGCATGTAAAATTGCAAAACAGGTGCTCGACTGATTGTTGCTGTGTTGTTGTGGACGTGTTGGGTGCACTATGTAAGTGTGCAAAATAGTGCCAGACCAAAAGTGTGGGCCATGTTGAGCCAGTGTGCAGATGGTTACCTAACATGTAGATTGGTGAAAATGTGAGTTCTATTGTATTATTTTTCTGTGTTTTTGAGTTTTATGATAATTTTTATTTTGGGTTTTTTGTAAAAGCTTTCGATTGTATTATTTTGAATGTAAAGGATAATGTTTTCTTCATGGGCTTTTGATAATTATGAGCTAATGGATTGAAGTGAATTCCAGGATGAAGAGTTTTGTGTTTGTTTATTTATAATTTGTTGTGTTTGATGATTATTTTTTGCTTTTTCTTGCTTTTACGTAAAATTTGATAATTATATTTTTTATTATGTCTCACAAAATTCTCAATGAAAAGTGTAATTTTGCTTTTAAACTGTAAATTTAGATGATTTGTCAAATGAAGAGTGGGTGTAATCAAAGATAATAAAAAAGCCATGGTCGTCATTTCAGTGAGGAACCCAATAAAAAAAGCAAAAATCCGAACATGAACAATAGTAAAAAAGGAGGAATGTTTCGGTATATTTCGATTAGGTTTTAGGGATTCTAGGTATTTGCTTATTTCATTGATGGAAATAAAAGGAAAGAAAAGGGAGATGGAGAAGAAAAAGGAAGGAGAAGGAGAAAGGGCCCCCGATTCTGCTAGGAAGAGGGAGAAGAGAAGAGAAGAATGAAGAGAAAGAAAAGGGAAGGAGAAGAAGAGAGAAAGAAGAAGGAAGAATAAAAAAAAAAGAAAAATGTCTACATTTTGTGGTAAAAATACAATTTTACCTTTATTTTTCTATCAATTAAAGACATCACTCTATTTTAAAACACATGCATCTCACTTCTATTAGAGAGATTTTATTTGAATTAATTTTAAAACGTTTAATCTTATATCGAATCAAATTAAAGATAATATTTTTAATTGAGAAAATGTCTAAACATTAGATTTTAAATTGAGCATTTAGCTTAAAAAACATAAAAATATATATGATGTTTTTCATTAATTCACATTTGGCTAAAATAACGAAAAAAGTTGTTAAATTTTATTATTTTCTTTAAATAAATCTTTATATTTTTATTTTACTTAAATAAAATTTGTATCTAAATAATTTATTTAAATTTTAATTTTTATCCAAATAAATCATTAACTTTTAATTTGTACCTAAATAAGTATTTAACATAAATCATTATTTCATTTAAAATAAGAGATTATTTAAATAAAATTAATGGATAATGATTTATTTAAAAAATACAATAATTTAAGAATTTGTTTTTAGTATTTTGGTTTACACACTTGATATTTTGCCTATCTAAACTCTAAAAATAATCATACTTTTTTTTTTGACAAAATCAATATATCATAATGAAATTGCTTTTCACTCAAAGTATACATGTTCAATTACTAAATAAACAAACAAAAAATTTTTGGCATAAACTTCAATATAATGGAGACAAAAACGATAAAAAAAAAATATTTTCAATGGGATAAATATATTCAATTACTAGATAAACAATAAAAATTTTCTTGTATAAGCCTCAATTTCTTGAGGACAAATATGATCAAAAATATTTTCGGGAGCAAAGGTTTGAATTTCTAAAAATTTTTAGATTTTTATAATAAACCTAAAAGAAATATAATATTATAAATATATGAATAAAGTAAAGAAAATTAAATTAAAAAAGAGGGGTGTTGCCATGTTTTTTATCACTCTTTCTTTTGACCACTCTATTTTTTTTAATTCCACTTTCTTAAGTGAATCCGTTGTAATGTAATAAATTTTAATTTTTAAGCAACAATAGTTTTAACAAAAAAACATCATCTTTGATTTCATAGTCATAAGTTGCATAAATTGAAATGAAATTGTATAATTTGTTTATAAAATATTGAAATTTTAATTTCAATTATTAGAGTTTAATCTTAATAATTTCAAATAAAAAATTGAAAGGAAATAAATTGAGAAAATCAATAGTGTTCCTTTATTTATTAGCTAGTGATGGAAAGTTTGGGTTGATTGTTTCAATTATTCCTGAATTCCTGATGAACCCTAACCTTAAATTGTGATCCATCCTTATCTTCTTGCAAAAAGAATCCTTGAATGTTGATACTAATTCATGGTAGGCAGCTGATAATCTACAGGAAAAGTTTGCAGTGTGGTGCAGTTTGGAAGTCTCATAGTTGGAAAAAAAAAAAAAGAAAAGTGCAATGGAATGTTATCTCATATGCAAACGGTAAAGTTTAATATTTCATTGATATATACTTTTCTTTTTTTTTTTTGATAAAAAAATTTAAGATAAATAAATTCTAAAATTTTTTCATCGAAAAAAATAAATTTTAATTAATTGAATTAATCATTTGTTGATGTCATTTTTTTTATTAGAATATTATCTTCTCATGTAAATTTATTTTTGGGTAGGGTTAATTCAATTGGTTTTTGAAAAGGTTTACTCAAAATAGATTGGTCCGTCGGGCTTAAAATTTTTATTTTTTAAAAATAATTATATAATAAAAGATTAAAAATATTTAATATTTAATATTTTAATATATTTTAAAAATAAAATAAAATAAATTTGAGACCAAATTCGAATTTCAGAACATACGCCTGAAGCTCAATCCAAATTGGAATAAACTCGTGGGTCAACCCGTCCTGCCTGTTGACAGGTCTAACCCCCCAATCAATTTTAGCATTTCATTTTCATTTACGAGATGTTCTCATCTAATTGATACTATTCAACTTGGCTCAACTAGTTACCTTTCTATTCATTCTCATAAATAATATGATTCAACCACAAGGCAATAGTCATTTTTTTTATAATAAATATATACATAATAGATATATATATATATATATGAAAAAATCAACTTATATCAGTTTAATTTTTTTAATTTTACATTTTTTAATAATTAATTTTAACAAATTTAAAAGATAAAATTAAATTATTTATTTTATTTGTCATTTTCATCTTTAAATCTGTTAAAATAAAAAATTAAAAAAATTTAAAAAATAAAAAATTTATACTATTATAAATTGATCTTGCTCATATATATAAATATATATTTATATTTATATTTATATAAAAAGAGAGACTTTTCTCCTACTCCACTACTTCATGATCACACGATAATCTCTTGGAACCAACAATACTTTTTTTTCTTGCCTCACTAAACTCTTGATTCTATGATCCTCTCCATTTATTTCTATGTTAATGTACCTAAATATCAGTCTAGAAACCATAAAAACTCAATAGTTCTTTATCCTTCTCATTTCAAATTAAGTTCTAAGAGTGTTTTTTTTTTTTAATGTCTGCTTTTAATTTTGGGAAGAAAGTGATACCCTTAATTGTGCAGAAATTTACGTTTATGTCAGTTTTTGTAAAAACTTTTTTTTTTCTAAATTTTGGATTTATAATAATAATAATAATAATAATAATAATAATAATTCAATGGTGCAGAATCTGTGATCCAGGGTTCTTTCCATAGAAGCAAATTAAACAGAATACCTTTTTAATAGAAATTTTCAACTCTGCACCTGAAAAGTAAGACACGAATAGATGGACGAACACATGTAAATGCATGGTTTATGGGTCAGACCGTCAGAGAGGGAAGCATGCTTTATTCCTACAAATATAATCAATAATTCATGATTAAAAAAAAAAAAGCTAATATGAAAATAAAAAAATTGTAAATATTTAATTTTAAATTTGTTAAATTTCATTTTTTAAAAATGATTATAACCTAACTCTCTTATTTTGATGTAATTATAAAGGTCAATTTGACATGTGATTGGTCGGATAAAAAATTTTACATATTATAGCCAAAGTCGACTATCTCAATTTTTTTTACGAGTACCGTAGCTTAATCAGTGAAAAATACAATAACATGACTTTAAGTTCTCAAATAAATGCAAGAAAATAAATTCAGGAAGATTGTTGTTGTGGGAAGAGTTGATTAAGACGTTTAGAGGAAGCTTTTCCTTCCTTACGGCTTCACACCAAACATAAAACCAATTAGGAGACTTACAATGAAATGGCCGAGATCCAATGTGATTTACTGGTAGAATACTGATCGCTCAATTTTGATGATCAAGATACAAATCTTGATAACCTCAAATATGAAAAAAGAAATAATGACAACAATGTTTTTAAGCATTGGCAAGTGGAAATTCCTAAGCTTTTATTGCTCCAAATATTCAAAAACAGTGAAGTTTCTTTTCTATCAAATATTCAACTTGAAATAATAGATTACCAGGATCAATGATGCTATTCAAACCACAAAACAAGATGCAAGAAAATATCTTTTTGTTGCAAACAAGGCATAATACGGCTAAAGGTCCAAATCTGAATAAAAAAAAAGAAAAACCTACATGGATTATCATCATGCCCTTCAACTTGAAACCTAAAGAGGCTTTCATCGTCGCAAGATTTATTATCACCATACAGTTACCAACAAATCACACATGAAATTCAAAGGGGAAAAAATTAAGAAAAAAAATAATAGACGGAGAGCTGGATTTGCAAAACTTCCAATTCCACCCACACTAGAGAGAAAGGATAAATTCCCAGACATACTAATACAGCCGGGCCCACCTCTCCGGTCTGAATTTTAACATCAATGGCCCTACATATCTTTTTCCCTTCTGTAGAAAAAGAAACGATATAACAGAAGCAAGGAAAAATTACAAAATTTAATCAAAGAAAAGCAAGTACTAACCAGAACTTGTCACTTCCGAGCCTTTGTACCTCCAGCAGCCTTCTTATCCTCCTTTCCAGGAATAAACCTCGGGAGATTCAATAGAGTATTGACACGAGAAACTCCTTCAAGGGCAGACCACTCGATTCCTACGTCTGAATTCATTTCCTCCTGCTTTGAGGAATCTTCATTCCCTTCTGGGAGTAGTACTTCGCCAGTTCCAGCAGCCCCAGACCGGTTCAGAGTGGTCAAGATGTCGAGATTATTGTCTTTCTCACTGTTGTTGTCAAATTGGGCCACTAAAGTTGGCAGCACTTTGGTCTTGGCTTTGGAAGCAGTAGACAAATTATTTGAGTTTGAATCAAGGAAGAGGCAAACAACAGCACAATCATCAACTTTTGAAGTTGGGTATTTGTATCTCCAAGCTCGAACTGCTGACTCAACCAAGGCTCGAGCAGCAGCGGTACTTGCTGGTGCAGATGCTACAATATCTACCACTTCATTGTTTGAAAGAACATCCCAAATCTGCAAAACATTGAAAGTAAACCTTAGATCTGGAGAAAAGGGCTCAAATGCCATTTGATATTTTGAATAAGAATTCATGTAGGCTCCATTACCCCATCTGTGGCCAAGACAATAAATTCATCCTTCTCGGATAGGCGATGATAAGATATTTCAGGCACAGAGATCAGGCCAAAATCCTTGAGGCAAAAATCTCCAAAAGCCCGTGCCATGGCAAGGCCAGGTGAATCATTGTTTGGCAGCCAAACTCGGGCAACCTCAGGTTCATCCTTAAGAGCAAAGACACGACCCTTACATTTTTTAATTCTCTCTGCTTCCGCTGTAAAGAGGAAAAAAGGTGTATTTAGCATGAGCTTGATTTTGTAAAGTATAATAATAGGTAACTAGAAGCAAGCAATCAGACTAGAACAGGAAAATTTTTTTCTTGTGCAGTCTCTATTGAAGATCAAGGGCATATAACCAAGCAATTTGAACCGACACCTAGTTCAACGGCTAAGATCTTCAACAGACCCCCTTAGGATTGTCATTTTAGAAAAACTGCAAACGTTTTGCTTTTGCAATCATTTCTGTGTTCCCATATTCATCCAGACTTCAAGATAATTTCTGACTGATTGCAAAATCATCTTCACTAATTTTTCATAAATTGCTTCATTACTCATAACATATATGGTTATCATATTTACAAAACTTTTCAACATTTTGTAGTCTTATTAATTTCATCTACATAGTATGATGATATGCAAATCAATTAACTTCCATTATTCTATATACACTTGGGCCTTCCACTGTCTTCCAACCATTGTAGCCAGCATCTCTACTTTCTCAATCAATTCATGTTAGATAACTGCATTCTATTCTTGGGTTATATAACTCTAGTCTTTCTAAAACTCTTCAAACATCGCTACAATATCCTCAAAAACAACTAATCTTGTAGAAGCTGCCTCACTAATCATGCTTACAAGTTTTAAGATATTTCAACCTCACATCGCCTAACCAATTGAACCAAATTTATGATGCTTATATGCATTAACAATGGGACAATATTAGCTAATATATGTCAACTAACATATAAGAAAGAAAGAAAGAGAGAATTTTCAGGGCTGGCAAACCAATTAGGACTAGAATTAATATTGTGTTATTGTCAACTGTTGAATTCTTCTCTCTCAAGCTTCCGGTATTGAAGACTGTAATGAGAATGGACGAGGAAAACATAAAGAGAACTAAGGAAATAAAAGGACACAAAATTTAAGATGGGCTATTCAGCAGACAGCACAAAGAGTGACCGTGTGCAGTCATGATGTGCTGGACACAAGATATGCTATGGAGGGCTCGAAACAATTCTATTATATGTGCTGATATGCACAAGATGAACATTTCAAGTAGCATTTTATATTGCCTTCCATTATACCTTTTGCTCTAATCTTAACAATAAACAACGAATTTAAAGAAAAACCAAATGGGTGGAACACTTACATAAGGGACCATAAATGATAGAGAAGACAAAACTTAGCATAAAAAGTCCAAAACCTCAGAAGTTCCAGAAAGAGAAGCACTATTACTTTTATCTATCATAATTTTTAGTCTAAATTACAAAGCATGAACGTGTTGCACATATGCATGCACTTGTGTATGACTAAAACAGACAAACAGACCTGGAAGATTTGGTTTGAGATCAACAGTCAACTGAACTGCAGTAAGAGAATTGTCTTTGTCTCTTGTACCCAACACAGCTCTGGAGTCCCCAACATTTCCAATTACAAGATATGGACCCTATACAAAGAACCAAGAGAATTATGATTAACTAGGAAACATATCGTAACATAGTTTTCCAAATAAAGCTTTTAAAAATTGCAGCTGTATACCTGCTTGAGCAAAGTTACAGCTGTCGTCCCACTGCAGAAGCAATCAATATGGGCATGCATTCTAAGTTCCCTGTCCATCACTTTGAAAGCCTTCAGAAAGGACTCTTTTAGCGTCTGAAAGATCTCTGGGTGCTTTTCTGTTTCCTCAAGATCTACAGAGGCCCTAGATTCCTCATCAGCTGATACAAAAGCAGTATCTTCAGAGTTCATGCTTCCTGCAGTATTCAAACTGATCTCTCTGAGAACATCCTCACTGGATATATTAACTTCCCAGTGAGCACTCAGTTTCAAGGGAAGATGGTCCCTCACACTCTTTGCTACCATATGACCATATGGACCATGGCCATCAAAAACACCACAGAAAACTGTATCTGTTCTTGATCCAAAATTCTGGGAAACAACAGCAATAGATAGTGAGAAATGGAAAATGATAGTGCAGAAGTAATGTTACTACAAAGAAATTGGTGATTTGCATCACAGATCTCTTATGCCCCCTAATCCTTTATATTCAAATAACACAACATATGTTCCCAGGATAAAAGAGAAGTCAATGTCTTGGCCTTCTTCACCAATAAATGGTCGAGCATAGAAAAGAGTTAAAAACCTTTTTTCATTATCCGGTCCAAAGACATTACTACCATCATCAATGTTTATATCCTCCTCTAAACAACAAACTAAGTTCCCACTATCTAGGGTCAGTTACATGGATTATATTGCACCGCTATTCTCTATTTTTGACCATATTGATGATAAACTTAGTAAAATCGAAGCCATATTTTACAGTTTCCAACCATATCCTTTTCGGTCCTCTTCTCCCTCTCTTGACCCTGAAATCTACCATAAATTCTGCTCCGTCAAGAAAATAAAGATAAGTATCCTAAAACAATTTTCCAAGGTGTGTCAAACATATAGTCCCCAGGACCCCAAACACAGACACATGTAGCAAATTCAAACTAGAAAAATAAATGAAGAGTTTAAATTTGCCACCATGGAAGTATCATTTCATATAAAAACCAAAATGATTGGATAATATCCTAAAAGAAAGTGGAGAAGTTGCAGCCAATTAATATAAAAAAGTGTTGCTTTTCCTCTAATTAGACAGCTATGAAGATATGTATACAAAAACGTAAAAGCTACATAAATAAAAGGGTAATACAAAACTCAATGTTTGCAGAAATACATTAACATTAAATTAATTAAACATTATAGACATTAAAAGATTCCAACAAATAATAATACAACACCATGGGCTGGCAAGCAACCAGGAAAAAGGGGGAAGTTCCTTCATCCAAGAAATATTATACTCCTATTATAAGATAAATTGTTAATTTTCAAAGCTACAAAAGAGAACATCACACGTAAGGCCAAATATATTAAATGACCATTGTTTGACCAGCTTGATAAAAAAAAAGAAAAAAAGTAAACTAACATGTGAAAATGGATAAAAGGAGCTAACCTCCCAAACAATCATGGCGTCCTGGTTGGTTCCTTTCTTGCCTTGTTGAGTAAAGAGTGAAGCAACATCACTGGACCCATTCAAGAACAACCTCCCTGGAATCCTATGTAATGGTTCTTCCTTCCGGTAGTCAAAGGAATTCCGAGACCCTGGTCTCTTCCTTGAATTCCTCCTCTTCATGTACGCCAGATGAGGAGACGAAGGCGAGCCAGGGAGAGGGCTCCTACTTTCAGCAGATAAGCAGGACCCCATTCTGAGGGCCCTGATAATGCTTATTATGCACTCCAGACCAGCCAGACAATCACAACCTCTATTTTCAGTAGACGGATCCGTCACAACTTGTGGGGTTAAATCCTCAAACAAACCCTTTCAAGCTTTCTAGCTAATGTGCAGTTTAATCCACCGAATAACCTTCAATTTTACAATCCTTTTCGCTAAATCTCGAAAATTTCGTCAAAAATCCTATTCACCACTTGATAATACCTTGATTTGTTCTTCAATCTCTTAAAATTCCAATCTTAAAGCAACCCTCTGGAGAATTGAAATCACAGCCAAAACAACTATCCCTTTAAGCTTCCCTTCGAATCACTTGAATAATGACCTTAAACTAAAATTGCCAGATACCCTTTTCCATTTTCAATCTAATGATCAGATCAATCCACAAATTTAATCTCATAAACTGCTTCCAATGAAAACAAAATTCTCAGAATCAACCAACAAAGCCAAAAAAAAAAAAAAAAAAACAAACGAAAGAAATTTAGGTTTCTAAAGCTTTCTAATTTACAAAAGAAGAAAAGTTAACTTTTTTATTGACACACTCTTTTTATCCCTAATCAGAAAGCAAATAAAAAAAAAAAGCTGAAAAGGAATATTTACCGAAAAAGGAGACCTAAGACTTCAAATCTATGGGAAAGAAGAAAAAATATCGAATCTGTAATCTACATTCAATAACTCCACCATAAAAGTAACATCCTTTTTAATAAACGAAGGCCAAAAGTTGTCATCCAAAAAAATTTTAAGAGAATTGAGAGTCCTATAATTCTCACCAGAAACTACCCAAAGGAGCAAAAATTTTCAGCAGATCAACATAAAAGCTGATCAAAGCTAGCGTCAAGATCAGCCAAAAAACACAAGGCCAAAATTGGAAACCAAAGAAAGTGAAAGGATAACAAGAGAGAAAGGGCAGTTTCAGGGAGAGCAAGGGGATAGTGAAAATGGGTAGAGAGAGAATTGAGGGAAGAGCTAGGGAAGAAGGGGAGTTTCTAGAGAGAGAGTGAAAGTCACTTAGAGAGAGAGAAAAAAAAAACTTCAGAAAAGGAACATTTGGGATGAAACGAAAGAAAGACCAGGTACAAATCAGCGAGAACTAACCGCAACCACCAACAGCAAACTCGCCCCCTTTAATAATAATAATAATAATAATAATAATAATAATAACAAAATAAAATATTTGTTATATTTATTGGTGATAGGAAAATGATTGAAAGAAAATAGTGAATTTTTTTCCACAAAGCACGCTTGAAAATGTGAGTTTTTTTATATTAAGATAATGTAATTGGAGAAATAAAATTTATAACTATTGAGATTTAAATTTTTATTTGTTAGGTGTTAGTTTTTTAAAATAATTAATTATATGAATTAATTTAATTAAATTATAAATTTAAATTTTTTTAATAATTTTTTGTTTGGAGGAGAGTTAAGATTTTTAGTTATTTTGCCTTAAAAAAACGAATTTTATACTAATTATATATAGCAAGATTTAGAGATAAAACTATAAATCTATAGTGTAAAAAAACTGTCATAATATTATCCAATATTTTCTTCTTAAGTTTTATAAGAGATACTTTTTTTTATTATTTGATAATTAAAATCTTATATTTTATAAATTATATAAATATATAAAAGATAAATTTTAAAAAAATTAAAAAAATTCAATTTAAATGACCTATTCTTTTGAATAAACACAAAGTATCATATATTTAATTATTTAAATTTTAAAATATTTTATATAATAAATTATACTTATTTTTTGATATTTTTATTAACTTATATATATATATATATATGATGTTCTATTACAAATAAGAGTATCTACAAACCCTAAAAAAGTAACTTTTGAAATAATTTTCTTATATTTATGTTCACATGTCTATAAATTAATATAAAATTTTAATTTCTATAGGAAGACCAAATTAGTTGTTTATAATTTATTGTCAACATTACATTAATTTCGATATCCTCCTTCCATTTTTATAAATAAATTATGCACCAATATAATTTTCTTAAATTATTCACACTTTAATTTATATTATACTTTCCAAACTTTAAAATTGAATTTAGTATAATGTTCAATCAATTCAAAATTTTACTCAAACATATTTTCATTATAATTATCTTTCATAAATCACTCTAAACTTAATTATTAAACAACATTTCATATTTTAATTCAAATTTATATATTCCTCCCAATCTTATATCTTATATAAATATATAAAAAATAATTTTTGATAAAAAAGAAAAATATCAAATTTTATTTAAATATATAAAAGCCAAGACTATAAATTTAAATTCTTAATAAGAAATTTACGTTATCTTCAAAATGTTCAGATTTTTATGCCTTAAATTCAATTAAATATGAATTATTTCCTAATTTGTAAGCATACTATTCCGACTTCAATATCAACAGCCAAAAGAAATTCTTAATTTAATATTATGTTAGTATTTATTTAAACATTTTCCTATTTATATATATTACCTACGTGTATTTTAGCTTAACAAATTTTTTCATACAAAGCTAGACGAGTGGTTAGTTTATAAAATTGATATTATAGCTTTATCATTTTCTATAAACTAATATAATGTTGATTTTTTTGTATCATGATCACATGGTACTTAAACTAATTTATTTTGTTAGTTATTTGAAATTTATCATGAAAAACTTTGGAGAAGAAACAAATTTTTTTTAACTAGAAGGGATGCGTAATTGACTAAATTGATAATTAGAAAAAATTATCTCAAAAATTTTTCCGTGAGGTGGACAGATAGTCATAACTAACCTTAGCGTGTCACGTTGATATTTTTAAACTTAAATAAAACGGTGTGTTTTAGTTGTTTTCAGGTTTTGAGGTGACTAAAGCTTTTTGGTTTCTTTCACTCTTTGTAGTTTCTTTCTTTATTTTCTTACTTTAATATAACCCCTACATATATTTTTTTTTACTGCAGCTTGACCATTCATGTAAATACATGTAATCTGGTCTTCTTTTGTGAAACAAAATGGTACGTTTTGTTTTTATTTGGATATTTCAAGTCTTGGTTTGTTGTCTTTTCAGTGTTTAATTCAACCTTTTATTGTCTTCTTCATAATTATCTAGGTTTTTTTCTTTCGTTTTCCCAGTTTCATCTTACATATTCACTATTTCTTTCATTCTGTTTCATATTTTTTGTTTTTTAAGACTCTTGCTTTATATTTGAGCTATTCCCCTCTTACCCTGTTTTAAATAATAGTTGTCTTCTTTCTATCAATTTTTTTTTATTTTAAAAATAAATATTGTATTTTACATCTTTTCAATTGAGAATATAGCAAAAGAATGAAAACTTGGAGCATAAAGGGTTATTCAGAAATGGTTTTGATTAAAGAAAGAAGAAAGAGAGAATTTCTTGGTTAATAATGGGAAAATTTTTGCATTTGGTGTTTTTGGGTTGTCCTCAATTATTAGACAATAGAGCTCACTTTTCTACTATTTTTTAAATTATGTTTATTGATTCACAAGTTTAGATAAGAATGATTTGAATTTTTTGGTTGGGGTTTTGTTATTGTTTTTTTTTTTTTACAATATATTTTCTTAGTAATTTTTTGAATGGAATCTAATTGGGTAAATTAATCTCTTAAAAAGTTTAATCAAAATAGAACTTAATAATTGTTACTTATCATTCTGGAGAGCGTTTCAATACCATGAAAATATGTGGTTGCTATTTTTTAAAAATATAATAGTATAATATTATATTTCTTTTAATTTTGTTTAAAATTAAGTCATTGGTTATTATTGTAGTTGGCATTTTATGAAATCAAATTATACTGTTTTATTAGTTAATTGCTTTATTACATAAATTCTATGCATTTAATTTTGAAATTGTGGCACTTGATTTTATATCTTTTTGTAATCTCTTGGATGTTTTTAACAAGCTTAATTCGTAAATAATGTTAAAAAATAGATATAATAATCTTAGTAAAGTGTGACTAATTTATTTCATATATTGATCATGTTACTTTCTCTTAGTTAGTTAAAAAATATGAGAGACTCAACTTTTAATATTTGTCAAAGCATTGTACGAAATAGTAGTGCTAGCTTATAAGAATTAATGGTGTGCTTTAGAAGCTATGCTTCCAGGCTATTCTTTATCCTAATCTTCATTTTTTTTTGGATAGGTCTTATTTGTTTTGAGCTGTTGTTTTTTTTCATCCCTTTTTACTGTCTGATTGTACTATAGGTATTATATCTTTTGTATGGCTATAAGAATTTAGGTTTACGTTGTTTGTTTATTGACAAAAAACATATTTTGGTGTTTTGTTTCCTTTCCAAAAGCTCAACAAGTTTTTTGGATTTACTTTTTACTTTACTAACTTTTACCTATGGTTTTTTCTGTTAGTGTTTGTTGTTAGAACAATTTCGACCTTTCTTGAATGGCTATGTTTGCTTACATCTTTCACTATTTTTTTTGAACAATAGCTTTTTTATATTTTTTATTCATTCTCACCAGATTCTTTTTGTCTTTGTCATGTTTATCCCACTAATTTCCAAAAAATAATCTTAACTATTTTGAATATCATATTTAATGTTGCCTGAATTAATTGATTAGTAAGTACTTCTTTTGTTTTGTTCATTAATTATGAAGTTTGTTTTAATTTGTCTTATGGTGGTTGTTAGTTTTTAAGTCTTCTTCTTATTTTGTTACTATTTATTAGTAACTTAGTTATGAAATTCTTTGTCATTTAAGTACATAGTCTATTAGTGTCATAGATGTCACTTAATAATTGAGTTCTTTTTTTACCTTTTCTTTATGTCAAGGTTTTAATTCTCCTCAGCTATTTTGTGCCTCATGTGTGAAATAGGTATTCTTTGTTATTTATTTATAGCTTATTTATCATTTTTTTTAAGCTTTTCAATGGGCATCTCAATTAAAATGAGGTAACCTTTTGTTACTTTGATTATGTTTTGTAAGGCCAATGATCAAACAATACTATTCAAAAATAATTGGAGACTATTATCTGATGATATTGAATATCAACTATGCCAAGCCTTTCAAATGCCACACTACCAAATTCTTGGTGATTTTTTAAGAAACAAAGTTCTTATAGCTTTAAAGGATATCTTCAACAAAAGATGTAGTTCTTTGGCTAATTATAACATCTCACTCCCATCACAGAGTTCTTCTCATTATTTTAATGACAGATTGATTCAAGAAGAGTTGAACTATGACCTATCAAAACTCGAGGTAAAATATAAACAATTATTTGAAAAGCTAAATAGTGACCAACGAGCAATCCATGATGTTGTCATGCAATCAGTTAAAATGAAGATATTATGTCTTTTATCTATGGACACGAAAGAATAGGAAAAACATTTTTTTGGCAAACATTGACAGCTAGGCTTTGTTCAACAGGGTAGATTGTATTAGAGTTGCTTCTTTAGGAATAGCTTCATTGCTTTTCCCTAGTGGTCAAATAGCACATTCAAGGTTCAAAATACCGCTAACTGTTAATGACTATTCCACATGTGATATTAACAAAGAAACTCAGCTTGCAAGGTTAATCCAAGCTAGCAAACTCATTATCGGGGATAAAGCACCGAGGTGCATCGAAATTGCTTTGAAGTTTTGGATAAAACCTTAAGGGACATCAATTATGGCATCAATCCTCATGCACGATTAAAATGCTTCGATGAAAAAATAGTTGTTCTCAGTGGTGACTTTAGACAAGTGCTCTCTATCATTAAAAGTGAAACAAGAAAAGATATAGTGAATGCTAGCATCAGGAAATCATATTTGTGGGCTAATTGCAAATTATGCTTTCTAAACACAAATATGTAATTAGTTAGAGGAATTATGACAAACAATGAAAGAGTAGAAATGCAAAAATTTGCTTAGTGGTTACTTGACGTAGGCAATGGAAATATTAGGGTCACATGTGAGAGCAATAGAAATGAAATGCAATTGATAAAAATTTCAAATTGATTGCTGATTGCATATGATTCTGATCCAATCTAAGTAATTTGTTAAGTATTTATACTAATTTTTTGAACTATTATGATGATGATGTCTATCTTAAACAACGAGCCATTATCACTTCATACAATGAAACTATTGATGTTCCCAACTAGTATATTTTATCATTGATT